CTCGAGAGGCTGAGGCAAGAGGATCGTTTTGAGTTTGAGACCAGCCTGGTTACAAAGTGAGCTCAAGGCCAGCCTGAACTGCATAGGGAGACCCTGTCTCATCAATACCAAAAAAAAAAAAAAAAAAAATCAACATTAAACCAGGTGTGGTGGTGCATATCTGTAGTCCCAGCATGCAAGAGACCAAGGTAGGAAGATCACAAACTTGAGGACATCCTGGGAACAGCAAGATCCTATTTCAAAAAACCAAAAACCAAAAACCCAGGCCAGTGCAGGTCTGTAATCCCAGAACCCCAGGAGGCTAAAGCAGGAGGATCGAAGTTGGAGCCCAGCCTGGGTAACTTAGTGACTTAGTGAGATCCTGTCTCAAAAAAATAAAATAGGGCTGGGGATGTAGCTCAGGGGAAAGAGTCTGGGTTTAATCCCTAACACTTTAGAGCAAACAAGCAAACAAACAAAAACCAACATTAAAGCATAAGGATAAGGATGGCACATTCTTAGTGGAAAATGGGATTAGTTCTGTTTTAAAAAAAGGCCCTGCCTCCTTCCTGCCACGCCCAGCCGCAGAGCCTGCTCCACGTTCTCCCCACGCACGGTGGATCCCAGAACTCAACAGGCGCTCAGTCCTACTGGGGAGAATTGCGGGATTTCGCCTGCAGAATCCGCTGACTGAGGACGGGCAGGCGTTTGCTGAAGACTCAGGAAACAAGCCAACCCTAAAACCCCTGCGTTGGACGCGCCTGGCACAGGGCAGCACTGACAGCCATGTGCATCACGAGTGACGTTCCAGCCACCAACAGACCTCACTGAGGACAGTGGTCCCATAAGAGCCCACCGACAAGTGACCGCATGGCCGCCTACGTTTGCATGACACTCTGCGGTATCTGCACAGTGACACCGGCTGACGACACACATCTCAGGACATTTCCCTATGGTGCGACATTTCCAACTCGGCCAAACCCACGACAACCTGCGTCCATGAGGGAGCCAAGCTCAGAGACGTCCATGAGATCCCCAGTCACTCGTGGTAGAGCTGCCTCTTAACCACTAGGTCTCTGGCTTCATAGGGACATCTGCTGCCACTCACCTGCCCCCCAACAAGAGGGACCCCATCCGGGAGCAGCAGCAGGCGTCAAGGGCGTCCAGGAGTGACCCGGGCAGGCGATCACACGGTAAGCTCACATGCACCATAATCAGTCGTCACAGCGGAGCCATGGGGACAAAGATGGAAAATCTGAATCAGGTCACACAATAAAGGCAAACTCGGATGGGTCCAGACCAGAAGCGTGGACTTCTGCAAGACGGAGCCACCCCTGGCCAGCTCCCATCCGGGTCCCAGGCAAGCCAGCGGGTAGCAAGCAAAGATGTGGGCTGCTTCGCTATTTGAGTAGCAGACTTTGGGGGAGCAAAACTCTGACTCTGAGGCTCCCCAGGGAGGAGGTGTCTCCCGAGACTTCGGGAGGTGGGAGTCAAAAATTGGGTGGGACCTGGGCGTGGTGGCGCACTCCTGTAATCCCAGCACCGAGAGGGCTGAGGCAGGAAGATCGCTTTGAGCTCAAGGCCAGCCCGGGTTACAAAGTGAGTCCAAAACCAGCCTGAACTGCATAGCGAGACCCTATTTTAGAAAACAAAACAAAAGCAAACAAAAAGTTGGACAAGACAAACCTGGAGTCTTGACCTGTCCAACCCTCAGTCTCTTGGTCTGAAGTGTGCAGGGCTGGTGTGGGATGCTGGAAGCAGGAGTGCAGGGAAAGACTGCACGAGGCCCTCACCCGGCTCACGGCCCGTCAAGAGAGGACAGGGACACAGGTGCAGAGCCAGCTCCAAGGAAGGACCAGCGGGTGAGGGGGCTCTCTGGGGCTGGTGGTGGCGTGGGTGCCACCCTGCCGAGGCCAGGGTGAGTGCCTGGCTGGTGGGAGCTGCTTCTGTTGCTGCTGCTATCATCGCTAGTGGGTCGCCCTCTAGGAAACCCAACCACCTCAGGCCACATCAGGTCCAAAGATACACGTTTGGAGCCCAGAAACCATGGAGCAGCCTTGGTCTAAATGTTCCCCAAATCCTCAAAAAGACACCAAGCAGGGTACTCTGCCACCGAGCACAACACCCCCCAGCGAGCTCCCATCCTCCCCCTTTCTCACTGAGCTGGGCTGGACGCAGGCCCCACCCTCACCGGCCAAGGGTGAGCTTCTGCAGCCCCCTGGCCTGCCCGGGTCCCAGTGCCAGGCAGCAGCTCCGCCCGGCCCCATCCTGCCCAGGCCAGAACCCTGATAGCTTCTGAGGAGGGGACAGCAGGGGCAGCCACTCACTCCTGTCCTACAAGGTGCCACTGTCTCTCCTCCATGAGAAGCACAAAAGGCAACGTCCCCCGGGCGTCACTGCTTGAGGCGAGGCCGGCTGTGCTGGGGAGAGATGGTTCCCCCAAATGCGGCTGCGATCCAGACCCGTGCGGGTCCTGATCTCGTGGCGCTCACAGTCTTGAGCACAAGGCAGACAATCTAGGCCTGAGCGCACACAGGGCGGAAACTGAGCGTGGCATGGTGGAGCACTCCTGTCATCCCAGCACTCGGGAGGCTGAGGCAGGAGGAGGGCCACAAGTTTGAGGCCAGCCTGGCTACACAGTGAGTTCAAGGCCAGTGAGACCCTGTCTCAAAAACAAAACAGAACAGAACAGAACAGAAACCCAGAAGCAGGGGAAGAGGCCCTGCTGGGCCACCAGAAGGAGGAGGCTTGGCAGGAAGGACAACGAGAAGGAGGGAAGAAGGCGCTCCTGGCAGGGGCCACAGCCCAGGCAGGGACTGGAGGGCAGAAAGAGGAAGGTGTGGAAGCTGCACGACGTCCCCTCCACCTCCCTGGCACCTCCCCGGGTCCCAGGGTCACCTGAGGGAGAGCAGGAGCGCTTCCTCCCAGCGCACACGTGGGAGGATCAGTCCAGGACAGCACAGCAGTTCCTGGCTGTTCCAGAGCCTGGTTGGCCTGGCCTTGGCTAGGCTGGGGGAATCAAGGTGCAAGGCTGGGCCCAAAGCAGCTCAGCACCTTCGGGGTGTCCGCCAGCCCTGCACTCCCATTTTGCAGAAGAAACTGAGGTTTCACAAATGCCCACCATCCCTCCAGCCCTGCACTTCTGAACCTCACTGGGGACCTAGGACAAGCTTGGGGTGCCAAGTGCCCTACCCAGGAGAGGGTGCAGGAAACCACCAGGGACGGGGTGACTGGGGTGAAGGAAGAAGCCCGCCTCTCACCCCGCCGGGTTGCCAACGACACCAGGCAGGGAAAGGCGGAGGAATGTGGGTGGGGACAGGGAGGACCTCAGGGACCAGGCCCGTCTGGGAGGGCCCGGGGCTCCGGGGCACCCCCTCCCCCAGGTGGCCCTCCACTTCCCGGAAGACGCCACCTGCAGCTGGGCGGGTGCGGGGCCGCCGCCCCCTCGGGCCGCCCAATCAGAGGCGCTCCCGGTCTGATGGCGGAGGCTGCCGGGCCAGGGCTCCAGGGCCTTCCCGGGGGAGTCCCCGGGCCTGACCCGGCCTCGACACCCCCGTCTCCCCCCGTCCACACCCCCAGCCTCATTAGCACCGACGCCCGTGGTCCTCCCCTCGCTTTCCGGTGGCTCCAGAATTTAAAGGTTAAATCCTAACCTCGTCTCAGCGGTTCTCCCGGCTTTGCTACCCAGCGCCAGTGGCTGGTAATTATATGCATCTCCGAGCAGCCAATCAGCTGTCAGACTGACAGATACTGATCTTTTCGTTTTATTTTTAGCTCTGTGCTTCCCCCTCTAGTTGCAAAAAAAAATTCTGTTTGTTCTGCGTGCTGCTGCCGGCTCTCATCTCCACCAGCCAGGCGGGAGCGGGCAGCCAGAGGGGCTGGAGCCCAGGAAGGGGGGACACCGCGAGCCCCCCAATCCTCCCCAAGCTGCGGCCTGCGCTGCCCGGTGCAGCCCCCTGGGGAAGGGGGAGGCTGAACACTGCAGGCTGCAGGCAGAGAGGCGCCCTTGAGACAGCGGCTGCCCTTGGCCTTGGGGACAGCAAGCCCTACCCACGCTGGAGGCTGGGAGAGAGACCGAGATCTCTGGGGGGAGACAGAGCCAGGCCAAGGATGGGGGGGCACGCACCCGCTCCCCCCGGGACTCTCACCCAGCACTGGACAGAAAGGGATGCAGCAGCCACCAGAGAGGGGGCTCACAGAGGGTCCAGCCCAGGTCTGCAGGGTCAGGCCCAGGCACCCCACTGCTGCACCAGCCGCAGCCCAGTGCCCGCCCACCGTGGGGCTCCTGTGCCCCAGGAAGGGCCCGTGCCCTTGGGAGTCCTTTGATGGGGTCCTTCTGGAGGGTCCTGTAGCTTCCTGCAGCCTGGCAGGTGGAGCCCGGCTCAGACAAGCTCCTACAGGAGCACGGCCACATGGAAGAGAGGTAGAAAGACGGAAATTTCCTCCCATCCTGGAGCTGAACAATTGCAGAGCATCTCTGGGCCCCACAGCATCCCTGGATCCCATCCTCAGAGCCCCAGGATGAAGGGAAGCAGGGCTCTGGGAGGCCCTGGGAGGCCAAGGATCACGCCCTTTCTGATTGGCCCTGGGGCTGGGGGTAGAGTGTGGCCCACTGGTTAGGGCTTTGAGGCCCATCTGGTCTGGGTTCATGCCACGGAGATGCTACTGACCAGCTCTGGGGACCCCAGTGGCTTGGCTTGAGCTCTCAGGGCCCCAGGGAGGTGAATCCCAGCCCCACGCCCTGGCTTCCAGGGGCCCCGAGGCGTGGTCCGGGGTCCAGCGGCGCGGGCAGGTGCGATCAGCACTTCTGCTTGGCGTAGGGATGGGGAAACTGAGGCGCGTGCGACTCCTAATTGGCAGAACTGGGACTAGAACCCTCCCTCCCCTTCTTGGCTTCCTTCTCTCTCACACCACAGATGGCGCGCGGAGAAAAAAGCGAAGGGAGTACGCAGGGAAGGGAATTCGGAGACCCAGCGAGATGGAGGGAGGCAGAAGCACTGTGATCAATTACTTGGGCTATAAATTTCTGCAGTTTTGCAAAGTGAGCACACAGCCTCAGAGATGCGGTGCTCGCTGGGGAGGCTGAGCAGAAAGCCAGCCAAGCTGAGCCCGCAGCCTCCGCGGCTTGATGCGGGAACAGGAGCGGGAGGAGGAGAAGGAAGGCCCTGGGCCGGGGCTGCAGGGGGGTGGGGCTTGCCTTCCCACCCCCAGCCACCCTCTCTCCCAGCTGTGCGGGAGAACCAGCCAGGCACCCAAAGCCCCAGCTGCCCCAAGCCTCTGCCTGGGACTCAGGCGCAGCTGCTGGGAGGCTGGTTCTCGAGGCTCTTTGACCTCAGAGTCCCCATCTGTAGAATGGGGCAGTGACAGCGTCTCCGCCAGGGTCAGGGAAACTAGGGTGTGAGCGCTTAGTGCAGGACCCTGCACAAACCCAGCAGTGGTGGTGGTGTTATTATCCAGAAGACAACCAAGGGCTGACCGGTCTGGTAGGTGGTACTCGGGAGGCAGATTTAGTTATTTAAAGGCTGAGCATGTGAACGGTTTCCCATGGGGGACGTGATGAGCATTAACCTGAATCAGTCTCCAACGAAACAGGGGCAGGGCCCAGGATGCCGTTTCTAGCTGGCGAACTGGGCCAGCGCTGGGCAGCCTGGGTCCAACCCTGGCCTCCCTTTCCTGGAGCCTGGCTACAGCTCACACCGGTAACGAGCCGCAGGCAGAGGCCACTCGGCGCAGCTGGAGTCCAGGTGCCCGGGCCAGTGGGACTCTGGGAAGAACTTGGAAGGGTTTCCTTCCTCACACATTGCAAGGGCCTGGGCACCTGCGGGGCAGATCGGCAGTCAGCAGGGAACCAGACAAAGCCTTGCCCTCAGAAAGCTGTGTGTCAGGGAGAAAGAAATGCAGCCTAGCTGACCTCTGAGCCCCTGTTTTTGACCCTGGACAATGACCAAATACACAAGCAATCCCAACTCTGCACAAATGCAAGGCACTAAGGAAAGTGGGGTGGGGCTGAGGGCCTGGGGCAAGGCCCGAACTCCTGAGAATCAAGGCCCGAAGGTGTCTTGGAGTTCAGGGACCGGAAGTGGACACTACCCCAGCTTCGGGACCTCTGGGCAAAAGACAGAAGGACAGCATGTAAGCTTCTAGGGCATCTAATATGATTCTTTGTTGGGCAAAAAGAACCTTTCCTGGATGGAAGGTATTAGTCATAGGAATATAACAAAAAGCCCCAAATCTTCGCGTATTTCTTGCTCCCACTGCTGTGGACTGGCAGGAGGAGGGGTAAGGCCCTGCGCCACTTGGTCACTCAGAGGCCCGCTTTCTTTTGCTCTGTGGCCCTGTCATCTTCTAGCACCTTCTCCTCCTTTGCAATAATCAGGTGGAAGGGAAAAAGCATGTGGAGGGCAACGTGGATGTTTCTGGACTAGGCTAAAGGGGAAGGGGAGGAGACACTGCCTTCCAGCTTTCAGCCCATTGGCCAGGACTTGGTCATGTGACCCTACCTAACTGCAAAGGAGTCTGGGAAATGCAGTCCAGCTGCCTGTCCAAGAGGAGACCTGTGACCCAGGGCTTGGCGGACACAAAGCCATCTCAGCCATAAATGCTGTCCTCTCTGGTTGGTATCAAAGCACCCCATGTCAGGCACAACCACTGAACGCGTGTGCTGAGGGTGGTGACCTGTGGTAGTCACCTTCAAGTCAGGATAGGCGTCTGAAGGCTGTTTCCAGTCCTTTAGGACCTGTAATCAAGCGTGCGTGTGCATGTGCCCATGTGCATGTGTGCGTGCTGGGATGCTGGTCCAGGGAAAGCACCCACAGCTTTCATAAACTGGTCAAAACTCTGAAGCACAGCCACTCACGGAGAGGGGACCCTGCCCTGGACAGTGGACACGCCAGCCCAAGTCTGCTGCCCGAGCCAAAGCAGCCCTGGGCCCTGGGGTGTCAGGACTGGAGGTGAGTTCAGATGTGCAGGTGGAGAAACTGAAGCCCAGAGATGGGCCATCGTGCCCAGGGTAACCCAGCCAGTTGGGGCAGAGCCAGGCTCGGTGCTTAGTGCCCAATGGCTCAGGTTTCTGTGGTTGTAGGTAACAGAAATGAGCTCTGTTTTCCATGAGCAGGACAGAGCGCCACGACCAGCCGGGCGGGCAGGGGGGAGCTCAGAACAGGGGTGCAGCCGGGACGACCAGGCAGGGCCCAGCCAGGATGTGACCAGGGCACGAGGAGCTTGGTGCCACTCCCGGGACTGGCCGTCGGGATGAAGAACACAGGGGCAGCCTCAGGGAGGGAGGCCGGTGACCAAGCCAGGGCCACGGGCTCATCTCTTGGCAAGGAAGGACCAGAGCATGTGGGCTGAGGACGGGCTCCCAGCTGCACACTCAGGGGAGCTCCCTATGAGGCCATCGAGGAGCTCTTGCCAGAAAGGGGAGGCATGGGTGCTGGGGCGGCCAAAACAGCAGATGTCCGCTCTGGCCCCCTGCACCGGGGTTGTGCAATCCCAACAAAACAACCCCGAGCTGGTTTCCTGTTAAGCTGTGGCCTAAGCAGGGAATCCAGCCCTGAGCACGGCCGGGAATCCAGCCCTGAGCACGGCCGGGAATCCAGGAGAGGACACAGGCTCCTGGCAAACCTGCTGGAACCGGCCTGGAACCCCGGCTCTGGCTCTGCAGCTCCCCTGGAAGGTTCGCAGCTCCCTCAAGGCAGCAAGGCGGGTACCTGGTGGCTCCACCCCCGAGCAGGGCCCGAGGCTTGCTTCATGGGGATTTCACAGCAAGGAGCATCACAGCTGCAGCAGAAGCCTGGCCAGGGGCTGAGCGTCCAGGTGGGGATGAGAGCCTGCCGGGCTGGGAGCTGGGGGTGGGCTCAGCAAGGCCAGCTCACCCAGGGCTTGGGGAGGCTCTCATCTCACGGGGTTCAAGCTTGGGGGAATCTAGAAGCCACCAGCGAGAAGGGGTGGGGGGCCAGTTTCCTGCGCCAGCTTGGCATGGTCTTGGAGCGGGACTGAGGCTTCCCTGGCACAGAAGAAAGCCCAGCGTCGGCGATCTCCAGCCTGCCCCTTCTGATTCCAGTCTCACTAGCCAGCCCCGTGCCCATCGGGCAGTCAACCTGAGATTCAGATCCTTCAGGGGCTCTGCTGTTCTTGTTAAATCTGCCTGGGGAGGGAGGTGCGGGGACCCAGGGCCTCTCCGGGTTAGGGGGACCCACATCTTTGCCCACCATCCCTAAGTAGGTCAGACACCTTCCGCCAACGAGGAAAGAGGGCAGCGCCCCTTACGGCCTGTGGGTGCAGCTCAGAGCTCTGGGGCAGGCCTGGCGCGGTCCTGAACAACTGTCCTTTGTCACCCCTCCACCTCTCACCTCACCCAGGCAGCTCCGGGCTGCAGGTTTGGGGCTCACTTTTTCTCCGAGGAGTAACGGGAGCCCGAGGCCCGGGCTGCTCCCTTGTCCCGCAGCGGAGGCGATCCCTGGGCTGTACTCGGCCACCTCTTCCTGAGGGACGTGGGCACAGGCTGAGGTGTCCGTGCGGCCGGCAGACCCGGGGCAGTGAGAGGACGCTGCAGGGCCCCCCGACCCGCACCCCTGGCTGGGAGGGCGAGGCCTGGTGGGGAAGAGACTTGTCCCTCTCTTCAAGAC